GGACCGGAGGCCCCCTTTAACAGCCCCAGGGGTTTACAAGGTCCCATGCTCCTGCGGCAAAGTGTACATAGGAGAAACCGGGAGGAAGATCAGTACACGAATCAAAGAACACCAGCGATATGCCAAATACGGCCACTTCTCACAATCAGCTCTAGCCGAACACAAGATCGAGACCGGACACGCCATCCAGTTCGACAAAGCCACCATGCTGGCCCCGTCCCAAAGCTATTTCGCACGTAAACACCGCGAAGGCATAGAAATCTTGAAACACCCTGACAATCTGAATCGCGACAAAGGCTATCAGGTGAGCCCGATATGGCACACCGCCCTCCCGGTTTTTAAGAACTCAGCCGCCATTGGCTGACCCCCCCTCCCTCTGACTACCCCGCCCTCTGACTACCCCCCCTTCCCCCCAAGAAGGAGTATAAAAGGACGAGCGCAACGCGAGGGAGCTCAGTATCAGAGTCTCCCAGCCCTGATGATGCAGACTGCAACGCCTGCGAAACGTCGGCACCACACTGCAAACGGACGCGGCAACCATCCGGAAGCCATGACTAAAGAAGATAACAGCCGCGAAAGCCTGAAAGCCAAAACAGCTATATTGATTGGCTAAATATTTCGCGGAATTAGAACTTGGACCGAGTACTAGCATCATGGACACAGGCCTTAATTCGCCTGAATAGGGCTGCGTTCGGAAATACTATCCTACGGGTGGAATCGGGTGAACGATGGTGGGGGCAGGGTGTACTCCGGGTGTGAATAGTTTCCGAACAGCAAATAAACGAAAATGGCGGGTGAAGGGTCTCGGACAAATATTGTAGCCTGCGCCGTGGTTATTGGACACGAATTAATAAAGAAAACTTTGGATAGCTTATATCCAGAAAGTAGCGACGACGAAATCGCTGATATAATTGAAGAGGCAAATCTTGTGGAAGGTCGGCTACGACTTGGTAATCGAGGCTACTATGAAGTTAGGGAACAAGTATACGTCAATGAAATTATACCAAGATTTAGTGATTTAGTGTTTCGTCAACATTTTCGTATGACCAGAACAACATACGAAAATTTCGAACGACGATTAACTCCGGCATTAATGCAAATAGGGAAGAAAGGAAGACCAATGATTCCAGTTAGAAATCAGCTCCTGTCAGTTATCTGGCTTCTGGCAAACCCCAGATTCGTTTCGGTGAGTAACAGTTTTTCTAATAATATAAGCATCAAATTCTTCAATTCGTAATGTATACACTAACTAAATGAGTGTTATAGGTCTGTAGCAGATCGTTTCAACATGGGGAAGTCGATTTTACATGATTCTTTCCGTAGAGTTGTGAGTGCTTTAAATGACATAGCAGATAGTGTTATTGTGTGGCCAAAAGGAGACAGATTAACTGCTGTAAAAAATAGATTCCATGAAATTGGTGTCCTTCCAGATGTTATCGGAGCTATTGACGGTTCTCATATACCCATTCTTGCGCCACATGTAAAACCATTACATTTATGTGCTGATTATTTTCTCATTGATTGTAATGACATAATTCATCTTATTTTTATGTTCTTGTCTGTCCAGCTTCACTCTGAATCATACAGAACCAGAAAATGTCAATATGCTATTACTTTGCAAGCTGTTTGCGATGCAAATCTTGTGTATACAGACTGCTTTGTAGGATTTGCGGGTTCTGTAAATGATTCTAGGATATTTAGAAACTTAGATTTGTGGATGTCTGTACAAGAGAATCGTGTAGCATTCTTTCCAGGAAACGAATATATTATTGGTGACAAGGCTTATCCAGTGCTGTCTTGGTGCATTCCACCTTATATAAATAAAGGAAATTTGACAGAAGTTAGTTAACTTTATTGTATCCTTAGTTTTATCTTCTATACTTCAATTGAGCTGTTATTCTCTATTGTTTTCTGTATCTGTAGGTTCAAGTCAATTTCAACACGGAATTGTCAAAAATGAGACAAGTAGTGGAGAGAGCATTTGCCTTACTAAAGGGGAGATTCCGAAGACTAAAGTATCTGCATATGAGTGTGGTAGTGATGGGCGATTTTCACTCGATTCATCGATGTTCGATTCTTTTTTTATTACAATATCGATTATTTCATCGATATTTTGAAATTCGATTAATCCCTACATCGATAGTTTTTTTATTCGATGTTACTATCTAGTTACTTTATTTTAGGGACTTTTTCACCAACCTCGGTTACGGCAGAGAAACCTACTGAAATATATACTAATGTCTCCTGCCCACTGGACGCGGTAACGTTGCCGCGCGGCGGAACTTGGCTAGGGAAACCAGCAGTAACCAATCCACATCCGAGTGCACGAGACGTTGATTGGCTAGTGCTGGTTTCCCTACCCAGACAGCAACGTCACGTGATTTTCACGTCGATAACGTGGTGGGAGTAGTCGATAAGTAGTGATTAGTGATCTCCGATCACTGATCGGTGGATGTTCTACGCGTCGCAGTGCGTGTTTGTCTCCGAGCTGTTGCCATCCGCGCGATCTGTGGAAGTTGTAAGCATCGCAGTGCGCGCCCGTTTCGGGGCCGTTGTCATCCGCGCAATCGGTGGACAGTTACACGACATGGTGGTGCGTTCCCGTTTCCATCCGTGCGATCGACGGACATAGTGCACGGCATCGTAGCGCGCACCCGTTTCCATCCGTGCGATCGGCGGACATATTGCACGGCATCGTACGTAGCGCGCGCCTCTTTCCGAGCCGTTGCCGTCCACGCGATCGGTGCATGTTCTACGCGTCGCAGTGCGTGTTTGT